GATGTTGTTGGTACGGCTATGGAAATGCAGAATTGTGCTTCTGTTATTGCTCTAGATGTTCCTCCTGCAGCCTTATTAGCCTGAATAGATGCTAAGCTAACACACAAAGCCAGTGTTTGCAGCGTGTTAACCTGGTTATGTTATATTGAAGTGATGGGATCAGAGCAGCTGCACATGTTTAGATGGTTTCTGGTGTCACTCCAGGCTGATTTGTTAGGACAGAAAACACCTTTTAAAGATGCAACCTGCTGTTAAAAGCGTGATAAAGTGAAGCCGAGGGAGAGCCGAGGGTCGACCGTAGACATCAGCTGGACTCTAACCGGATGAAGCTGCTAACACGCTAACCTGCTCCTCTGAAGCATATCAAAGCCTGATTCACACCTTCCCACGACCATAAGTGCAGCTGTGGATGTGCTCCACCGACTAACCCACTAACCCACTCAATGTTCATGTTCTGTGGATCTCAAGTGTTTTTATTGGTCATAATGTGAATGATGATGTTTTGAACTGTGTTGGCTGTTTGACCTGATCTAACCTGTCTGTTCTTTATGACCCGGTTCTGTGTGTCTCAGCACATGTTCTGCTGTAGTTTGTTGTGTGTCACTGGTTGTGTAGTTGTGGTGTTAGGCTGCCCCCCCCCCCCACATTAAAACCTCTGCTGGGTCTCGGTGGTGGAGGGATGTGGTGTCTGTGTTTCATCACTCACTTCGTAGCTTCTTCTTCCTCCTCCTCCTCCTCGTTCTTCTTCTCCTTCTTGTGTTTCTGGCTGTCTGGACCTGCTGCTGGACTCTGTCTCTGTGTTTCTGGGACCAGGGACCATTCGAAAGGCTCAGAACCTTCTGAAACAGTACTCACAGCATGGGCTGGATGGGAAAAAGGGGGGCTCTAACCTCACGCCTTTGGAAGGTAAAGCACCTCGGTCTTCTGTCGCTGTTTCTTCCTCCTGCAGGTGAACGGAAAAGTCGGTCGCAGCAGCTTCTACGCAACGCAGTTGGTTCAGAAAGGACAATTATATCTAATAAATCTGGGAAAAGGCAGATTTGTACGAGCTAATGATAGATATATGTGATTAAAATCAACCACGTCCATCCTGAAGCACTTCATCACTCAGAAAAAATAAGAATCAACCAAGACGTCTTTAAAAAAAACACAAGAATACAAACAAAATAAAAACCAAACTAGAATCATTAAAGCTGCAACCATTAGTCAGTTCACCAATTTGTTGTCAACTATCACTTAAATTAACTTTTGCTAATTGGTTTCATTATTCTTAGTCATTTTTAAAGAAAAAAAAAAAAAGTCTAAACTCACTGATTGCAGCTTGTTAAAAGTGAATATTTTCATTTTGTTTAAACCTCTCTGACAGTAAACTAAATATCTTTGTGGACATTTTTCATCGTTTCCTTACATTTTATAGACCAAACAATTAATTGATTGTTTTGAGAAAATAAACAAGAATTAAAATATTTGATAGTTTCAGCCCTTGAAATAATAATAATAATAATAATAATAATGATAATGATAATGATAATGATAATAATAATAATAATAATAATAATAATGATAATGATAATGATAATAATAATAATAATAATAATAAGAAAAAACTACTTTAATGGTGTGCCTAAAAAATACGTTTAAAAAAAAAAATCCATCAAATTGTGCAAAAAAAAAGTTTAAAAATACCCCAAATAAAAGTAAAATGATTTAATTAATAATCTGTATCAGCTCTGAAAAAACAGGAAGAGTTTAAATGTTTTTAAATGCACATTTTAGTAGATTAAAAAAAAGTGCAAATTAAATATTGTTCCAGAGAAAACGTTTTTAATTTTCTATATTTTCATGCAGATAAATAAAACCAGAACTTTGAGCTCATAGTTTTAATGATAAACGTGTTGACGCCAACGATGAAATGTCAGTACAATTTAAAAAACAGAAATTAGCCCCACATATTTGCAGCGTACGAGGTTAGACTAAACAAAACTAGGAAAGTATTCTGAGGATTTGTGGAAAACAGTTCAAAAGCTGAATCCGTTGTTTGAGTGATTCTGAGTTAAAGTGCGTCAGGATGTGGTTTAGCTGCAGGGAGCCGAAGCTGCTGTGACGTTTCTCTTCTCGCTGGTTTTCTGTAGTTTGAACTCAGACTGACGTAGAGTTCAGTCGGCGCTCATTGAACCCGTCCGGCTCCGGTCGGTGGGTCGGTGTGTCCCGCTGCTTCCCCCTGCTGGTGCTTGGTGGTCGGTGCAGCTGCAGGTTCAGGTTTGTTTGCCGTCAGCCCCCCGGTGGTCTGACCGTGTTCGCCTCCACCAGCAGATCTCGACCTGCGGGTCAAACATCACTCTGAGGCCCTGAACGAGAAGCACGGGGCCCCGGCAGGTGAGTCAGGGCCGGCCCACGGTACCGGAGCCTCAGAGGAGCTCAGCCGCTCGGCTTTAAGCCCAGTTTATACACAACACACACACACAATGTCCAACATGATCCACTCACTCTGTGCTGTCCATCTAAGAACCGCTGATTGTGACCGATGTCGGGATCCTCAGCAAACAAGTCACGACTCGAGTCTCGGCGCCATTAGTTAGAACTCATCGGATCGATGTCGGTGATGAACTGACAGTTTTCTGACAAATTCATGTTAAACTAAGTGTATTTTTCAAATTAATGAATCCAAACAGCTTTTCTTTGTTAGCGCTGTGATGCATCACTCTGCTTCCATTAAACATATTCATCAGTTCTTATTTTTAAATTTGATATTTTGGCGCCATAACTCGTGGATTTGTCTCGAGTCAGTTGTCATTTCAACAAACTCCACATATAGAAGAGAAATATTGTGTAGAAAATACGTCTTAACGCTGTGAAATGTGTTTTAATGCTTTAAAGTGTTTGTCTTAATGGTATAAAATACGTATTCATAAATGTGTCTTCACACCGTAAAAAGCGTAAAATAAATCTTAATACTATAAAATAACAATTCACACTTTAAATTACGACTCCTCACGCTGCACTTCGGGACACATTGAGTCCACTTTATATATATTTTGTCATGACGTTTGCACATGAGCGCCTCCGTCTGAACACAAGCTGCACCAGAGTCCACGTTTCCTCGTGTCCCGTGTGTCGGGTCTTCCGGCTGATTCGACGTTTCCTCGTGCAGGAAAAGACGACGTCCTGGACATCGAGATCGACTCGTACATCCACTGCATCTCGGCCTTTGTGAAGCTGGCTCAGAGCGAGTACGCCCTGCTGACCGAGATCATCCCCGAGCACCACCAGAAGAAGACCTTCGACTCACTCATCCAGGTCAGAGACGCTGAAGAACCACGTTTTCATTTCAGCTCTGGTCTCATTTAGAAGGTGGAGCTTCAGGCGAGACGCTGTCGATGAATTTTCACCATTTTAAGCTGAGATTTGGTTATTTTCACGTTGTAGTTTTTACAGTTTGGCTCTGTTCAGTGGTGTAATGATGTGTCTCAGTCTGGTGGTTTCATGCTGTTGGTCCTCAGGAGGCTCTGGACAACCTGATGCTGGAAGGAGACAACATCGTCTCTGCAGCTCGCAGGGCCATCATGCGCCACGACTACTCGGCCGTCCTCACCATCTTCCCCATCCTCCGACACCTGAAGATGAACAAGTCCGAGTTCGACTCGACGCTGCAGGTTCGACTCATTCAAGAACACGCAGCTGAAAAATAAGCTTTTATTTGCATTAACAAGTGTTTGTTTTTTTGTTTGTTTGTTTGTTTGTTTGTTTGTTTGTTTGTTTGTTTGTTTGTTGGTCTGCAGGGAACAGCGGCGAGCACCAAGAACAAGCTGCCGACGCTCATCACCTCCATGGAGACGATCGGAGCCAAAGCTCTGGAGGAGTTTGCAGACAGCATCAAGGTACAGCTGTCATTAACCTGCCACTGATCACTGATCAATCACTGATCAATCACTGATCACGTCTCTGTTGTGACCACAGAACGATCCGGATAAAGAGTACAACATGCCCAAAGACGGAACCGTCCACGAGCTGACCAGCAACGTAAGCCAACGCTCCGTCACCTCCGCTTGTGTAACTGTATTTGCTCTTCCAGCCTCGGTGCGTCTCCTCGAGGCCGTTGGTCCGTCTCCGGGGATCCAGGTGGTCTCCATGGCGACGGCGGACTCTGTTTAATGAGTAGCTGACCTCTGCTCTCCTCTGCAGGCCATCCTGTTCCTGCAGCAGCTGCTGGACTTCCACGAGACGGCCGGAGCCATGTTGGCCTCACAAGGTAGCGTCAGCAGCCGCTAGCTCTGTTAGCGTAGCATCCTGCTGCCTGCTGAGGTTCCCGTCAGACGTCTGTGATTTAAACAAAGCTGCACTCACAGCTGAGCTCACTGCTCCGTCACAAAGCGTTTGGACCGTGATGTTTTTCATTTTCAGCTCTTATCTGGAGCTTTAAGGACAAAGTTCTGACCTGAAGCCCTTTTAGTGCATCATACAAAATCTCAGATTTAAAACACAAAATCTATGCCGCCAATAAGTCTGAGCACAGTCGGCCTTACTCTCCTGAAACTATAATATATTTTATTATAATCTGGTTTCTGTGGGTGTATGAGATTGTGTAATGTAGCAGCACCTAGCAGCTGTAGGCCACTGACTAGCATTCCTGTTCTAGTCAGTAGCATTCATGGCTAACAAGAGGCATCCCTAAGTTATGACTAGCATTCCAAGGCTAGCAGTTAGCATTCCAAGGCTGGGAATTAACATAAGTAGGCTAATGTTTAGCATCCCTTGGCCGATGATGAGCTTGTACTACCGACTAGCATCCCTCCAGAGTTCCTTTATTCTACG